GTCAAAACGGAGCTTTGAGTGAAAAATATGCTGGACAATCACTGCAGTCGCGAGTGATAAAAATATTGGATTTTTTTCCCCATATCGAATATTTAATAAAATTTGCCTTTATACGCGTTGTAAAAATAACTGAAACTTGAAAAACGAAAATAAAATACTCTCGCAAGTTGCTCGGAGTGATTGAACGCAAATTAATTCATGTAAGAGAGGAAATACAGAGGATAACGAATGGAATTACTTTTAAAAAGCGACATCCGAACCGACAAACGCGTTACGATTGCAGCTGCCAGCGGATCAACTCGAATTAAACGCAATTACGTGGAGTAAATGACATATAAAGTTAATTGTCGTTAATTTTACTCGATAAATTGATCAAACTGCCCTTACTCAAGTATCTTTCCCACATGTCACATGTCCCTTCGAGGTCGAATGTATCAGCTCTGATAAGCTACACCTGTTACACCGTGCATTATCAAAATCAAATCGTCCAATAGATTCGACGTTTACCCGATTCTAGTGGAAATTTCAAGATTTCGTATACGACGCACGTACTTGCATGCAATATGGAAAATTAATGTTTTTCCAATATTTTCCTTTCAGCATTACAGATGACATAATGGATATGTAACGAGAAAGTTTAAAGATAGAGGAATGGAATATCTCGTAAGCCCTGAAGTATCGATAATATTGACAACGAATCTAAAATAAGAGTATGCGCAATTTTTATAATAGCACGTATATGGCACGTATACGTCAGATATGATATTCAACAGAGAGATTAAACCTTTACACTCACATATCGACATGACATGTTCAAACTGAAATTTGAAATATCTATACAGATATCTTAAAATCCTAAATTAGATATTTTTATTTTTTGTAAAAAATTGCCACTCGATGAATTAAAAAATTTAATTACTAAATGGCATAAAATTAAAATTATTCCTCTTCATTTGTGAATCTCAATGGCTTTTCTCTTCTTATGTTATCAATTATTTTGATATTTTGTTAATAGAGAAATGACAAATAAAAATAAAAATCGAGCATCATCTCTCCATCTTTTTTCCTAATGATATCCGAACAATTGCAATTGTTGGCGTTGCCTTTTTGAGAATTTAAACTCCGGTCTTACGGACGGAGCGAAGAATCGCAACACTTTGGAAAACACTTTGGTGCCGCGAGTGTGCGTGAAGGCAAAAGAAAGGAACGATACAAAACGAGAAATGCACGGAAAGGGGCGTGTTCGCGGGGTCCGAACACGGGAAAGAGGACAAGGGCGGAGGGAGAGAGAATTCGTAATCGCCACGAAAAATACAGTCGTTTCTCGGTCGGGCCAGGGACAGGAGCAGGGTGGGATAGGTCTTTGTTCGGAAGGAGCGAATTGTGGGACGGAAGGCTCGTGACACGGCCAGCTGTTCAAATCACGATTCGAGATCTCGTCCGAACGAGTGCGTTTATTGACACCCTCCACTCGGACTCGCGCTATTACCGCCGATGCGATCCTGAAAGTGCTCCACGAGAGAAAGAGAAAACGGCCTCGAAACCAATTTTTATTGCCCCCCCCCCCCCCGAGACATTTAAATCGTCATTTAGCCTCCAATCTATCATTTTATTTTAATTCTCTCCTCCGTCAAGTGAAATCCACGTGACACACATCGCTTTTCAAGTTATAACGAGATTAATTATTAAATAATTATATACTTAAGACAACAAGTAAAAAAGTTAAGTAAAGAATTTTATCATTTTTTGGAATGTAGTCAGTTTTATCGTGTGTCGTATTAACCAGATTTTTATTTGAATATCTTCTAAGATCGGCCCTTTCGGCAACGTTCCAACACTTTTCGTACTTCCTACTATGCAAATAAGAGGTAGCGTACTCGCCAGCTTGTGAAAACAGCTGGATCACGCTTCTTAGAAAAACAGAGTTCTTACAAAAAGTGGAAACTACTTACTTGCGTAAATACTTCAAGTATCATATTCGAGATCGGATGTCGTTGCGAAATTTAATTGCGTTTTCCACGAATGCAATCGTTCGTTTATGATTACCGATGTAATTTATCGCTGAATAATTTAGAATTAATCGTAATCCGTTTCTAATTAAATATTATCTTTTTCTTCTTATTATAGAAAACAACGTTAACTTGGAATGGATTGACCCAAACTGTCAATATAATCTCAACTATGGCTGGAGCTATGACTAATTGAAAGGGAACAAAAATTACAAGATCTGATCTTCTCCAATCAGATCACCAAGATCCAATAAATCAAAATTGCTCGCATCCTCTTCTTAGTTTTCTCTAACGAAAAATGGTCGAGAGACAGCAAATCAGCGATTTTTCTTTTCTTTTTTCTTTTTTTTTTCATTTTTTCTATCGTTATGATTGGAATTTTTCAGAGAAAAAGCGGCTATAAGACGTCGACGGTGTTCCCCGGGGATGTCATTTTTCAAGAAACAGGAGAAAAATCGGGCGTGCACGGTGGGCATGCGGTGCACATATGCTTTTGACATTTCGCATCCGGTAGCGTCCGATAGCCGGGCTAACGCCACCAATTGCTACATTATACGCTTTTTCGATAACTCGGCCGAATTCGAGATACCGGCGATGCCGATGAAACAGCGAGATCGACATCGATCGGTGCCGGTTGTGGTCGCGCGACGCGACAGGTCCGCTCTTCTCAGAAAGGATCCGGAGCCCTTCCGGGAGAAGGAACGTCGCGCGGTCTCGCACGCTTTTCGCGTACGCGCCCTCTCCTTCTCTCCATCTCTTTCGCTCTTTCTCGCGCGCGCACTCTCGCTCTCAGTCAATCACATCCAACGGATAGCGGTTATCTCACCTGCGTGCTTCTCCGCCTTCGGCGTGGAGGCCATCGTTATCCGGTACGTCGTCCGCCGGTGATGTCAATCGCACTATCTCACCACTTCCGCGCACCGCCGCATCGTGTACTACGCACTGGGAGCTGCCGCGGCGTTTTCAGTCTGTTGTAAACCCGACGCGCACCGCTACATCTCGCTTTGTCGGCCATTTTTCGGGCAGGCGAGCGCGCGCGGGCGACCCGCCATCTGGCGGCGCGGATGCGAAGCATCCGGGAGGATCCGCTGGTTATGGCGGACGTGTGCTGTCAATCGCGTGACATTTCACTCCTGTACTCCGCGTAACGTGCGATAACGTGTTCGACGTGTTCGAACGGCGGACCGGACTTGTCACCCTGCAACTCGCACGAGTGTCCGCGTGTTCGCGGCCGAGGCGCGAGTACGAGACGTAGGAACGTGCGTCCCGTGCGATACAGTTTCGACGGCGATTCCGCGCTACGGAAATCTCGTGAGCGGAGTGAACACCAGCCAGCGAGCGCGCGCGCCGGCCCAGCGCGATACAGCGTCGCGCAAAAGTTGCCGCGCGGGCGGCTGGTACAGTCCGCGTGGCGAATTAATCCCGGCGAATTAATCCGGAGCGCGCGTTCTCACTGGCGCGCGACGCGTGAAATACTTTGAACTATTATACGGGTATCCCTATCGGTGGACTCTTCCTCGTTCTCTACAAATGATTGTATAGATATCGCTTGTGATTGTATCAACGAGGAACAAAAGTATGAGGTAAAAAAACCCGACATACTTTGAAACTTGATCTGAACGTGATTTTTGCTTGAGTTTGAGATAAAGGTTGCCGCTCGCGGATGGCAGAAAACGCACTGCGATTATCGTCGCTTCAAAAGGCGGCACTTCGATATTCATCGCGATAACTCGGTACGATAGATTAATTTCCTTCGCTCATAGATAGGAGAAAGAGATCGGGGCGGTTATCACCTGCAAGAATACCGAAACGCTGACGCGACATGGGTAACTCCGGCCTGAAGCAGCATTACGAGACCGCGAAGAAGACCGGCATCCTGAATTTGTCGCGTTGCAAGCTGGACGAATTCCCGCAGAAACTCCGTGCCTTAGCGCCGTCGCTGCGCACCCTGGACTTATCCGAAAACAAGTTCACGACGGTGCCGAACGAAATTGGCAGCTTCGCGCTGTTGAAGCAACTGAATTTGAGCTACAACCGGTTGACCGCCCTACCCGACGTCTTAGGCAGTCTCGAGAAGCTCGAGGTTCTAAATTGCTCCGCGAATCAGATTAGCTCGATCCCGTTGTCGCTGGAGAATCTCAAAAACCTGAAGCAGGTCAACTTGTCCGACAATCAAATCATCGAGTTCCCACTGGCGTTCTGCGACCTCAAGCACCTGGACGTTCTGGATCTATCCAAGAATCGACTCACCACCGTGCCGGACGGCGTCTCCAGTCTCCGCGTGACTGAGCTTAATCTGAATCAGAACCAGATTGCCATTATCTCCGAAAAACTGGCCAAGTGCCCGCGATTAAAGACCCTGCGACTGGAGGAAAACTGCTTACAGCTGAGCGCGATACCCATGAGTCTCCTCAAGTGCTCCAAGGTCTCGGTGCTCGCGCTCGAAGGAAATCTCTTTGAGATGAAGCAATTCGCAAATCTGGATGGTTATTCTAACTACATGGAACGTTACACGGCGGTCAAGAAAAAGATGTTCTAAGGAAATGATTTCGTTACGTCAAGAAATAATAAATTTGTATTATACATATAGAACTGTTTGATAAGATTGTCTATATATTGTTTGATAAGATTGTTCTATATTGAATTAAAAGATTCCTAGTATGTTGGGCAGTGAAGAAAGAGAAAAGGATTTCGTTATTTGAAGCTATCGAACTATTTTTATGTCGTCAATTTAAGAATAAACAAAGCTAGAGACATTTATAAGATTGGGAATATTTTTAAATTTATACAATGTCAAGATTTATAAGATTCTACAATTTGAATATTTTTTCTTTCTAGTATATAAATCAACATTTTTTTGAGATAAATAATGTCTACAGCATTTATATCTGCATTATTTGTAAATAATCATGATATAGAAATATTTATTAATTTTTCTTTTTTCATAAATGTTAATGACCAAAGCGATAAATCATTAATATTTGATTATTAATTCAAGAAAATAATATAACTAACATAATATAACTAAATAATTATTCTATTAATTTATTGAGATTTTATTTTAATGTTTGCATTGTCTGAATATCTACACAAATGCACAAATATACGCTTTAAAATATTTTAATATGCAAATATCTAAAAAAAGATATTTTGCTCCTTATTTAATGTACTTTGTATAAACGTTTATTTATCACAATGATAACGATCACATAATGATACGCCACTATCTGTGGCATTCAATGTATTAGACTGTACATATTGTATGTCAAAATATTTTTCACCTTAAATAAAAAAGCTTGTTTTTTACGAGGTTAAAATTTAATCGCTAACCTTAAGATCGGTAATATAAAAATTACATTTTGCGAAAATAATAACTATTTTGGCAAAACAATAAATATTCGTTTTCAGAGATATTGAAATATCTCTGAGAAAAAATTCTGAGAAAAAATTGCATTTTTTATACTGTACCAATCAATTAAGATCCATTTTTAATTTTAATTTATTTTTCAAAATAATTTGGAAACATTTAAAATTGAAAAAATATGCATGTCCGAATTTTGATTATTTTTATTGAAAATTTATAAAAAATTTAATGGATTGTGAAATAAGACTAGAAATGAAATCAAAACAACACGCTGATAAACAAAACAAGTTCCACATATCCTGTTTTCCTCTTTGAATAACTTAAAAATACACGCTCGTGTTTTGTAATTTACATCGAATAACAAGATACATGAGAAAAAATATTTTTAAAAATTGATTTTTTATGATATGATATTCTCGTCCGATGCACATTAAACCGCACGATCTGACGAATGTTTATTGTTAATAATTATATAACTCTTTTTTATAGAGATACAAACGTTGCATTCGCACGGTTGTGAGAATAATAAGATCATTGAACTTTGCTACGGTCAATCGCGCATTAACCTTCGACTAAATGGTCATAAGAATTTTCGAAATTATAAATCACTGATGGTCATAAGAATTTTCGAAATTATAAATTACCTGGAGTAAAAAACATTTTTCAGTGAAATTCTGCGTTATAATCAATATTTTCATAATTATTTATTTCAAATCAAAGATTAGAATCATTTTTAAACTTTCTTATAATTTATTTTTTTAATTAATTGTTTTGAGTTTTTTTATATCTATTCACCCGATTTTTCTATTTTTCAAAATTTAAATGATCACACAAGAACTTTAGTTAAAAAAATTAACTATATACCAACTCTACTTTAATTTTAATGCCGTAATTACATACATATCATTTTTCTTTTTAAGATGTACTAATAAAATGTTTATAAAACTTGTGTCTTGCATTTTTTAGATTCACAGACGTCAAACTTATTTTAATGACAAGTTAGATTTGTCTGTAATTTATATGTAATTTATATTTATCTTAGGATTAACAGCCTTAAGGATGTCTTTGCTGTTTTGCAATATTAAAGGACAGCCTCATGAAGAATTCTCATTAAGACGACGATAAGACACATTGGCAGAACTTCATCAAAACTTTGAGATATCCTATACACTTCATCACCCTTATATATACACATTATATACACCTTATATATACATATTATATACTACATAGTTCGATCAAATATTCACAACAAATATTGTACGTATTTATCGAAGTTTTGTTTTATGAAATTTTGCTTTTATCAAAATTAGTTTGAGCAATTCATTGAGCCATTTATTGAGCAAGAAGTAACTTTTAAGCTTTTAACTTTCTAAAATTAACTATATTAAAATGCTAAAAATGCAAGAAAATATGCAATAAATCCCACGCAATCTATTTATCCAAATTCTTTTTGATAATAAAATTTAGATCGAAAATTTTGTGTTTTTAATTTCATTTTTAAAATTAATGAAGT